GTGATACCTTTAAGTTGGCCCAGAGCCACTAAAATGGCAAAGACAGTTAATACCCACAGTCCTTTGAGTGACACCAGGCAGTCACTGACTGATATTAGGTGGACATTAGTAGGGACACTCTGAATTCGGGCTGTGGGAAAAGGATATAATCTCACTGAAGCTAATGGTTGGTTACCTAAATGAGCTCCAGTCTGAGTACTCTGGTAGGTCTTCCTCCATTCAGAAGGAAATCCACTCCTGACTCCCATTCATGCATATCTTATTTCTTTTTGACATCCCATAGCCCTAATTGGCTATGCCAGCATCATCTAATAGAGCTTTCTACAGTGATAGAAATGTTCTATATCTACATGTGGCTATTGAGCACGTGACATGTGACTAAAGCAACCGAAAAACTGAGTTTTTAACTGTAGTTAGTTTTAATTAATTTAGTCACAAAGTGGCTTCCATACTGAGCAGTGCAAGCCTAAACCATACATCTAGGTGCTTATTTAAACATTAGACTATATTTGTTCCCCCAAATGCAATTATCTTCTTGAAGTAAGCTCTTTAAAGGCAGAAACCAAAAAATTCTCTTGGATATATTTAATATTAAAATTAAACGCCAGGCACCAAAGATAATAAAAAGCCCTTCCCTTCGAGGAATTTACAATATAAAACTGGAGATTAGATAGGCTACATAAACATAACAAGGCAGAATAAAATAAATGCCATAAAAAGGCACAAGACGCTATAGGAGGGTGTCATGCTAAATTTTTGATGGTGAGATTATGTGAAGGCTTTATGAAGGTGGTGGCATCTTAACATGGGCTCTGAAGAAAAAGGATGGTAGGATTTTAACAGATAAGCCTATAAGAGTAGGAAGGAATTTTAAGCCGATGATAAGCATGAACAAATGCATTGAAGTATCATCCTCCATAGTACCCAGCACAATACTGGATACACTGCAGCAATTCTATAAACAAGTGATTTGATTGAGTGGATTAATATATACTCTTGGTAATTTGACCATGCATCTCATATTTCACTGGAATAGACAAAAGCCCTTCCCAGGCACCATCATACTATGGAGGATTATATTTTGATTGCTGAGAATGAATACATAAGGCTGAGACATTAAGCGAAAGTTCCAAGACCTAAGGAATAAGTGACCTAAATTCTACAGCTCTGGTCTTCCAATTCAGCTATAACATAAAGGATAAGGAGGAGGAAGCGTTCCTGCCTTGTCCTGTATCCTACCTGAATACTGAGCTCTCCCACTTCCAGGGGATCACAGCCGAGATTAAAAGCCAGAGTGGCAGGCACGAGGGCCAGTCCGTCGGCGAGGGGCTCTCCCGGCTGCCCAGAGCTGGGCCCCAGCCTTTCTGAGAGGTCCCAGCGAGGTTCTAGGACCTGCACCGTAGCCAAGTGTGGCTGGGAAGGTTTGGATGACTCTCCGGCCCGGTTCACCCACACCCATTCGCCCTGGAAGAGGCCGAGGCTGCGGAGACAGCTCCGGCTCACCCCCAGTGAATCTCCAGTCCCTCCTACAAGTCCCCGAAGTCGCCGGACTGTACCGGAAACCGCGAAGAAGGACACCACGGGCGGGGGCGGGAGCCGGCTGCAGTCCCCAGTGTCTGGGCCCAGTCTGGCCCGCCCACGGAGCTCAGTCACAGCTAACCGCGTCCCTGAGCCCAGCAGCCCTTGCAACGCCGGCCGCGTCTCCAGCACCCGCGGTCCGGGCACTGGTAGGGCCTCTCCGCGCCTCACCAGCAGCGGACCGACTCGCGGTCCGAGCCCGGGCCCCGGCGAGGTGCCAAGCAAGGCCCAGCCCAGCGCCGGGGGTCGCCGCACGGGCCGCGCCCGCACCCACGCTCCGGATCCCAGGGCCAGGAGCCGCAGCAGTGCGCGGCTAACCAGCAGCTGCGGGGGCCCGGGACCTTGCTCTTCGGTCCCCGTGCCCGGCCCCTCCAGGGCCGCCACGAGCAGCGCCGGCCCCGCGGGACTCTCCCCTGCAGGCCGCAAGGCCAGTACCAGGCCCGGCCCCGCCGCAGGCCACGGGCCCCCGGGAGGCAGCAGCACCGCCAACGGGGGCGTCTCGGCCGGGAAGGGCTCCAGGACCCGTAAAACTGCCAGCGCCATGAGAAAAGAGACCAGAGAGGAAGGCGAAACAGCGCAGGCTCCGGAGCCAAAGAGCCGGAGAGCAAGGCGGCGCACACGCCGCTTCCGCTTCCGCTTCCGCCTGGGGAGGTGCGAGGAAAGTGGGCGGGGCGCCGGGTGCCGCGCGCAGGCTCTGAGAAAGAGAGAGAGCTCTTGTGGGTTGATCCGTCTAGTGCCTCGATGGCAGTAACACAATTACTGCGGTTGCGTAGTGTTGACGCACGCACCCTTTGAAACTGTTTTGCTTCCAGGGATTTGCCTTCCGAGACTGCTAGGGTTGTAACGTCCTCTCGACTACCTTGCTCTGTAGCATGTACTTTAACAGTTTATTGAATGATCAATGCACGGCCAGCGTGCCACAGACCAACTCGGCCCAGTGCTAGGAGCTGTAGGTGGAGTGCTAGCAAGGAGTCCGTTCCTCTGTGGAAATACTAGTCACTGAGGTTTGGAGGTTGTGAGGAAAGTTGCAGGAGGGTGTGTCAGGATTATAAAACTGTCTCAGACGTCCTTATGGATATGTAGTGGCTGCTGGCTGAATTACTACATGTGATTCATGTAGCCCTGGAGTGCTTGGTGCTGCCACACCTGTTCCAACACATCCTACACTAAACCCACGTTCCAGTGTTTCTTGTCCTGTTTGTTCTACTCCCACCAAACATGACGCAAAGACAAAACAGCTTTGCTTTTTCATCCCTCCAAAACCAGTTGTTCCCCCCCCCAATGAATCCTAGCAAACTAGAGATCCATTTCCTGTTTCTACCTTAGAGGGAGGTGGGCAGCAGAGCAGGCAGAAGAGAGGGTTTCAAGGGTTCAGCCATGAGCACCAAACCAACAGCTTGCTTCCCACCTATACTGTTACTTAGATTCCATCCTTGTTTCCACCTCTGCTGTTCTGTACAAGAGACTTGGACACTTGTAGACCACACTTCCAGTTATTAATAATGTATTTGCACTTAGAATCAATGGATTGGTTGGTGGCAATCTACTCTTTCTGGACCTTGCATTCTCGTCCAGTTACCGCCCAATTTGCTCCTTTCTTTTACAGCTGAACATCTTGAGGCAGTCTTCCACTTTGTACATTATCCATTCCTGAAAATATAAGAATTGAATATTAGGTTTACAAGTTATAAGGTATTTCTATCCCTCAAGAGACAAGAAAATATTTTTTTAAATGCCTGACTATAGTTCCTAAAGGTACCTTTAGTCCAATACCTGAAATTGCCCAGTTTCACATTTTTAAAACAGCATGCAAGAATGTACTAGGTGCCCGAATCCACATAGATGACAGTTCCCATTTGATAGTTCTAAACTATTATGTGCCTCTGTCCCCTGCCTCATAGAAGGACCAAGGACTGGGAGGATGGTGGGGTGGGTCCAAAGAAGATATGCCTGCACAGTAGCAGGCAATCTCTAGGGCTCAGGACTGGGGTGTTCCCTGAGGCCTTGGGAATATGTAAATACACCTGGTATCAGTCAGCACCCATACAGACACAAATATCCATCCATTAATAAATGTCCTCTCCTTCCAGGCTTTCCCCTCCGCAAATCATTAATGGTTGACATGCAGTCCATTTTGCATTACCTTGAAATCGTCATTAGTCACTGAAATCCAAATGCTATTTCTGTAAGATAGCCAGAAGCCCATCTTTATTGCCTTTACTTCCACACCTCTTGCACACTGTTCAACCCACTATAACCTTCCACTCCTCTGAAACTTTCTTGCAAAGATCACAGATCACCTCTTAACTGCAGAATCAAGGTGATGCTATTTGATCTTTATCTGACTCAATCTCTTTGGAGTTTGACACTATTGACCACTTCTCTTTTATTTCTTTTGCCATTATGACACCAGTTTTCCTCCTACATCTCTGTCGGCTTCCTGAAGTCATCCTCAACTCCTCCCTTTCCCTTATTATTCTCCCCACATCCAATGAATCACCAAATCCTGTTGATTCTACACATTTCCCAATTCTGTCCTTCCTTCTCCATGACCATGGCCACCGTCTTGTAACATTGCTCTCCTGGGCAAGGACCACAGGCTTATTCTTGAGCCTTGTCCAGTTTCTTTATGTGGCTCAATCTGCTACTGGAGTCGACTTTCTGAAACATATTCCTCCAGCCACCTCTAGGTTTGTCATTCATCACACTGTATCTTAATCATCTGTTTATACACATCTGTGGACTTCACCAGCCTGGAACTCCTTGAGGGCAGGAACTGATTTTATCCATTAGGACATCGCTTGGGCAGGGTGGGGAGTAAGGGATGTATTTCCCAAGACATTCCACAATGAGGTAGCTTTTCCACTGCGTCCCCAAGTGCTCAAATTTAGCTGGTTCCCCAATCCCAGGACACTTGCAGTAGGGACGGGGACCCTCTTTCCAAAGTTGCGACAAACTCGGGATTCCCATCTCATCTCACCCAAGTCCTAGCCTGCCAGGCTTCCGCTGTGATCCTCCTGAAAGCCCTGTCTGGAAATTGATGCCCTCGAGGACTCTTGGGAGCTCCATCCACCAATTTTGCGTGTATGCAGTTAGTGCTACATTACCCTGATGAAAAAAGGTACCCTTCATTTTAGGGCTTCTTTCCTTCAGCGCAGACTGGGCGGAGTAGCAGAGTGGGTAAAGAGTGAGAGCCACTTTGGAACGGAACGGGTTGCGAAGAATGGCCGAATCCGACGCACCACGGACGCGGGAGTGCGGCACTGGGTGCTAAGCTTGGGCTTCCCCTTACCCCCGCCTCCTTTGCTAAGCTCGACCCACTTTAGGGCGGGATCTCCCACTTTAGCCAATTCTGGCAGCCGAACCCTGGCGGTTTGTACTCTTCCTTTCCAATGAGAAAAAAAGGAAGCAGCTTGGTTCCAATGACCAATCCGAAGAGGCGGCGCCTGGTTGTCAGGCAGGTTTGTAAGAGTTCGGGCCAATTGGAGGCGCAGACACCCCTCGACCCGGGCGCAGCGCGCAGGCGGTGGCGAAGAGACGCCGAGCGGGCCGAGTGCGGCCGAGCAAAGCCGGAGCCGGAGCGGGGCCGCAGGAGCCGGGCTGGGTCCGGACGGGCCGAGATGCCCTATAAACTGAAGAAGGAGAAGGTGAGCGTGGCCCATTTTCCCGCGCCTCCGCCTTGGGGCCTGCGCGGACCTCTGGGAGGGGCCCGAGCCAGGCCCGGGACAGCCCCAGACTGACCCTCCCGTCCGGCCCCTGTAGGATTGACTCCCTGGGCCAGCCCTTCGCCCCCGCCGCTGGTTGCACCCCCAGCCTGTGCTGCAGCTGGGAAAGCTCCCTCATCTTGCTCGGGATAGAGTGCCCCCACTTAATACCTCCCTTCCTTTCTCCAGATACCCCCGGCCTAGGGTAACCCCCTCCCTCCAGATCTGCCCCAATCCCAGGTCACTCCTCTGCTTTTTCGGCTCCCACCACTCTCCCCCATCCCCCACCCATTTGCCCGCTTGGGACAGCCCCTCATTTGAGACAGCGCCTCCCTGCAGAACAACCCCCCNCTCTTGGACCTGTTTGACAGCGAGGATCCTCGAGAGCGGGACTTCCTCAAGACCATCTTGCATCGCATCTATGGCAAGTTTTTGGGACTCCGGGCTTACATCCGTAGGCAGATCAACCACATCTTCTACAGGTGAGGCCAGGAGCCCAGGCTTGGGAGCAAAGCTAGTCCCCACCCACTAAGGTGGGGTGGGAGAAGGGAGGAGATAGGGGGCACTGCAGAATGCTGGAGGGGTGTCAGGGGTTGTCAAGAGATGTTTTTTCTTCCATCAGGTTCATCTATGAGACAGAGCATCACAACGGGATTGCTGAGCTCCTGGAGATCCTGGGCAGGTGAGAGGTGGGGTGGGGGCACACATGCCCAAAAACGGTTTGGAGGATTGGCCCATTGAGCTTGGACCAGGCTCTTTGGTCCTAACAAGGCTCCCTTAACTCCTAGCATCATCAATGGCTTTGCCTTGCCCCTTAAGGAAGAGCACAAGATGTTCCTTATCCGAGTCCTACTTCCCCTTCACAAGGTCAAGTCCCTGAGTGTCTACCACCCTCAGNGGGCCAGGCATGTCTGATCCCCTTCTAGGTTTAATTTTCTGCTTTTGATTTCCGATTGCATTTGACCTCCTTCAGTGGAGGAGGAGATGCAAGTCCTGAGAAGGAGAAAAGTGACATGTGACTGAGGTTTGCCTGGATGGGGTGGGGGCAGAAAGAAAGGGATGGGTAGAGGATTTTTATTGCTCATCCATTACCTCTCCCCTTTCGCCTTCATCTCTGTTGGCTCCAGTCCTAGCCATCCTTCAAGGCGTCCTCCCTGAAGCCTTTCCTGAAACCCTCCCTTGGGACTGAGCTCTCCCTCCTCCCCTGGATTTGTAGAACACTTGATAGGTCACTTATGGCCCTTTTGTGTTCCCTTGGGCTGAAATTAATTGTGGGCAAGTCTTTTCTTCCCCTTGAGATAATAACTAAGCTCCATTTTGGTTTGGCATCTCCCTTGTCCACAGTAGGCACTCAATGGATGGATGCTGAGTCAATCGCTTGGGAGGATTTGCATCCCTCCTCTTCCCTCACGTTCTGATCTGGGACTTTTTAGGTTCCTAGGTGTGGTTCTCCTCCCTCCCACTTCCTTCTTGTTCATTATAATAGTAATAACATGGACCAACATTAAGGTTTTCATGTACCAGACACTGTGCTAAGGGAATTAAATACCATGATTGTCGTCCCTTCATAGATGAGGAAACTGAGGCTCCGAGAGGCTAGTTCATTTGCCCATGATTATATAACTAGTCAAAGTGGGGCCCAGAACACAGGGCTGGCTCCAAACCACGGTGCCATGCGCCACTGGACTGCTGGGCTGGGCTGAGGTGTGTGCACTTCACCTGCTGTGTAGGAGCCAGGAAGCAAGAATGGTGTGCCTGGTCTTCCCACACCCACACACACCCAGGCAGCTGGGATCTCTCAGGCGCATTCCGTGCAAGTGCTATACGGTGGGTGGAGGGGCACAAAAAAGAACCAGGAGCTTATCAAGTAGCGAGATGAGACATGTACGAAGAGGGGCCAGCTTTGTCCAAGGGCCCACGTCTGGGATGTGTACAGACCGTCACCTCAGTGTTGTGTCCTGCCTGTACCCCCCTCATCCTTCCCTCTCCACCCCATGCTCTGAGCCACTCTCTGGCTGCTTGGTGAGGGGTCAGTGTGCCCGGCCTGGTCAGTACGCAATGGGAGAGTGCTCAGCCCACAGACGGAGCTTCTGATGCCGGTGCGACTGCGTGGACATGCTCCACACCTGGGAAAGGGTTCCTTCCTCCCCTCCCCCAGGAAGCCTTCCCCCTGCTCCAGCCCACACAGAGCTCTCTTCTCCCTGAAATCCTTTTGCCCCCATAGTTGCAATCACTTGATTTAACACTTCTCACTGAAGGGGCTCGGGTGCTGTTGAGTCACAGAAACTCAGAGCTGGAAGGGATTTCCAAGGTCCTCCAAGCCAGTCTTCATGTAAGGCTTGAGTCCATTCTGCAAAAGGCCCTTGAGGAGGCATGACTGCTCCCCGGCTTGAATGCTCTTGGGGTTGGGGGAGCTTGCAGCCTCACTAAGCAGCTGATTTCTGTGCAGCTGCCCCAGGAGAAAATTCTTCTTTGTTTGGAGCCTCAGCCTGTCTTCCTGCCACTCTGGCCATGGCTCTTGGGCCTCTGGATCCACACGGAACAAGTGGCATCGTTAGTCCACAGGGCAGCCCTATAGCTATTTGTAAAGATCTTTCTTGCTCCCCCTCCCACCATGACTCCTCCCTTCGACTCCTCCTTTCCATTGTTACCTCTCCCAGTTCCTGCAGCTGTTGCTCTCAGGACATGCTTTTGAATCCACTCCCAGTATTGGTTGTATTTCCCAGCCCTCCCTGCCCCCC